ATAGCAGCAGCAATACAGGCAGGCGATTATCTCTGCTGGAATGCAACTCATACGTCAAATATACATGCGTCCTAACGATGAGCTCCGGGAGGAGATTTATATTACACCAGAGCCGATACTCAGGAAGGACCAACACTATACAAATACGACAACTCTCTCAAGCTCGACTTTGTATCAGTCGTATCTGCTTTGGGAGTAACCACTTCGACCACTACCCCTCCCCCCAACCTACGAGATCCTCCCGGTCCAGTTTAAGACAGCCCGGTAAGGCTGGATCTCGAACAAAGCCAAGAGATGCCCAGAAAGTCGATGACCCTTGCAACGGGTACGCAAGTAACTTCTCTAGAGGTAGTTGCTCTGGTTTGGACAGAAGCCCAGGACCATCTACACTAGTACTGCGACGCCGTGGTCGTCGTCGAGGCACCGGCAGTGCCGGAGAGCCCACCAAGAACACTACGAGATGAAGGACCTGGTGAAAAGAGTGCACAGCGCTCGGAGTAGGCGGCGCCGGGCTTGCCATGTCCGATGCGAGGCCCTGCCGCCTTCGTCGAGGGGACACCCACGTGTCTCTAATTATAGCCTCCCTTGAGGAATTCAGAGAGAACCTATAAATAATTACAGGAATAATGCCGCCACCGAGGATCGAACCTGCGCATGTTACTTACCACAGAAAACCAGCTATGGTCTTCGTCCGAGCACTCTGTTCGAACGTTACGACAACTCGTTGGTCTTCTGCAGCCTCTCGACGCGACGTAGAAAGCATCGAGCGCCCTATCATCGGCAGCCTCCCTCACACAGCTCGATGAAGGCATACCCACATTTCTTGTTTCCACACTTATCGCCTCCCAAAATGAACAAATTTTCTATTTGCTTGGCATCAGTCTCAAAGTCGAGGAGCTGCAGACGTACGCCTCGTAGGCGTCGTGAGTGAACTCCCATATACCACCAGAAGTAGAAATATGCCACACAAAATACAGGGGAAAACTCAACTGAACGATGGGAATCCAACACAGACAAAGAGGGGGTTTACAAAACACAAGTAGATACCGAAACCTCATTATTAGCATTATTGTGGTCTCACCAAGGGTCTCAGACGACAGGCCACACAATAGTCGTCACAATGCTGAAGAAAAAGGAATACATCGTCATCGTACTCTTCTCCACCGTCACGCGCCACGAAATTCCCTTAGTGGGCAGCACGGGCTTCGAACTCGTTGATGGTGAGGAACTCCTCCATAGCGTTTTTGAGGTTCTCCTCGGTCGTGTCCGAAATGAGGTGCTCCGCCCTGATCGCCTTCAAAATGTCCGGATGGTTTTGTGACACGTGCTCCAACCACATAGTCTCAAACCTACCAACGACGATGATGACGACAAAATTACCGACGAAATTCCAAACCCTTACCTCGGGATCTCCTTCTGAGCAATCTTATCGAGGTATCCGCGAACGCCAGCGTAGATGGTCACGACTTCAACTTCGGTAGCCATCGGACTGTACTGCTTCTGTTTCAGGAGCTCAGTAAGAATACCACCTCTGAATGAACATACACAGTCACCAAATTGATACCATCTCTCGTCCAACTCACCTCAACAGCTGTTGTTGCGTAGCCTGATCCAAATCAGAACCGAACTGGGCAAAGGCCGCCACCTCGCGATACTGTGCCAATTCCAACTTCAACGTACCAGCCACCTACACAGCGCCAAAACCAAGTCGTTATTATCATCAAAGTCAGCATCCTTACCTGTTTCATCGCTTTAGTCTGGGCAGCCGAGCCAACTCGAGACACCGACAAACCGACGTTGACGGCAGGACGGATACCCCTGAAGTGATAACAATAATGATACTCCGGTCGATGTGGTTCTCGCTACTTGTAGAAAAGCTCAGATTCCAAGAAGATCTGCCCGTCAGTGATGGAGATGACATTAGTCGGGATGAACGCAGACACATCACCAGCCTGAGTCTCGATGATGGGAAGGGCCGTCAAGCTGCCGCCCTTCTTAGTGCGGGCGTTCATCTTAGCAGCGCGCTCCAGGAGACGTGAGTGAAGGTAGAAAACATCACCTGCAGAATCGATCAAGTGACAGACCATGAGCTCGCCAGGGCTTACCAGGGTAGGCCTCTCGTCCCGGAGGTCTTCTCAACAACAAAGACATCTGCCTATAGGCGACTGCTTGCTTCGAAAGATCATCATAAACGATCACGGAATGCATTCCGTTATCACGGAAGTACTCTCCCATAGCGCAGCCTGAAAAACACGCCAAATCAAACGCTCTCTCTGCAACGAGGATCTCCTCACCAGAGTAAGGCGCCAGATACTGCAAAGGCGCGGGGTCAGAGGCGGTAGCAGCGACGACCGTCGAGTAGGACATACAACTGACAGGGATGCATACTTGAAGGAGTTGACCATCGCCACTCACCCGAATTTCCTCAGGATTTCGACGATTTGCGCCACAGTCGAGCGCTTCTGCCCGATAGCGACATACACGCAGTACCTAACAGGAGTCTCCAAAGCGATTATCATCGAGATGTACTTACAGATGTTTGGTAGGGTCGGGGTTCTCATTCACTTGTTTCTGGTTCAGGATGGTATCAACAGCGATGGCAGTCTTCCCGGTTTGGCGATCACCAATGATAAGCTCACGCTGCCCACGGCCAATTGGAATTAGGGAGTCCACAGCCTTGAGACCAGTGCTCATAGGCTCACTCACAGATTGGCGTGGGATGATACCAGGGGCCTTCACTTCGACACGACTGCCTACAGCAAGAGACGACTACAGCGACTTCACTTCGAGGGACAGGCCACGTACGGAGTTTGGCATTGATAGGGCCCATATCATCGATGGGGTTACCGAGACCGTCGACAACTCTGCCAAGGAGCTCCTTGCCGACAGGGACGTCCACAATAGCCTTAGTGCCTGAGGCAAGGGGGAAAATCTCTAAGAGTGGAAGAGGGTGGTGACTCACGCTTAACGCTGTCACCCTCGAGGATGTTGCGATCCTCACCGAATACCACAACACCAACATTGTCGGTTTCCAAGTTCAAAGCCATGCCCTGAGGACAGAAGCATCACTCAACGGATGAGAGCTCGTGTGGCGTACTTTCAAACCGCAGGAGAACTCAACCATTTCACCAGCTTGGACGTTGTTAAGGCCGTAGATACCTAAGGGGGGCTTATGGTGAGACCTATGACGACTGAACACTTACGAGCAATGCCATCAGCGACTGACAGGACCAGGCCGACCTCGTCCACGTCCTTGTGGTCCTTGAAACCAGCGATACGCTCCTCGAGGATGGAAGTGACCTCTGCCGGGGATACCTGCCGACGAGTTGGCTTAGTCTAGAGAGGGAAGTGGATGGTGCTAACCTTGGCAGCGAATCGAGGAGCGGTGGTGTGAAGTAGTCGAGTTGTGGTATAGAGGCGACCGAGGCTGGCTGTAGTAGCTCGGAGAGGGGCCCCGCGAGTGAGAAGTCGAGATAGCATCACAGAAGTGGGAAGGAGAAAAAAGGAAGGTGTCGACAACCGAGACCCTGAAGGGGACTTGATGAGGTTAATCCCAGCAATAGCGGGACCAAACATGAACAGGGTAGAGGGAATCGAAAGCGAGCACGCAAACGGAAATTCACCACCGCTCGAAATAGCCCGACGGTCGTAGACGAGAAATGCATCGCAGAGTAGACGGGAGGAAGCGAAGACCCAAGCGGGGACGGTCGAGACAACTCATTAGAGAGCGTGAACGGCCTTTTAGTGGCGATGTGGTGGTGTTGATCATCACAAAGAGAAAACCGACGACAAAGGCTGCCGAAACTGAGAAGCTGTAAGTGCGCAAGATCTGTCAAGTTTTTGAGACCAATCAGCCCGACGGAGTTTTACGTTTAGGGAGCCCTTTCGGAACTAGGTTAGTCGAAAACTCAACTTTCTACGTCCGGTTGGTCGACGACCAATGGTCGAGCAAAGGTACTTTGAGGTTGAAAAACGATCTGAAATTCTTTGCAGTGCGGTCGGTGGTGGCGACAGAAGAATCTTTGTGAAAACGACGACCGACTGTCAGGCCCCTTTTGTAATGATTATTATCGTCATAATCTCACCCGCTCTACTTGCCGCCGCTGACGCCTTTCCTAGTAGCAGCTTCAACCGTGTCGCTATGGATGACCTTTGTGGTCGCCACAGTGCTATTCTCGATACCGTCTCGGGAGAAGATCGTGAAGTGATGAAGCTCATGTGCGAGTATTGGCCCGAGGACAAGTGGGGTTCAATCAACGACGCCGACTTGAACGAAGTGGCCACTTTGGCTGAGACTGGCGAGCTTGCTGAAATTAGACAGAAGTCTGTGCAGTGGACGAATGCGTTTCGGTCGAGCCCGAAGTTCTGTTGGCGAAAACTGATGAAAAAAAGGGAGAATAAGAAGGCGATGTGTGAAGGTCCCGGCCTTAGTGGCAACTCTCCTGGATTCGGCTGGAAGTGTAAGAGGAACTGTCGAGACTTTTGTCGAGACGAGTTCCAGAACTACTTCGGCAAGACCAGCCGCCTATTTTGGTGTAAATGCCCGATGGACGGTAGCTTCGGCCGAATGGTGGACCCTCCTTGCCCTCCTGGTGAATCACTCATGATGGGCAAATGCTACAAGTCTTGTCCTGCTGGCATGCAACCAAGTTTGATCCCAGGTAGATGCTCTACTGACTGCTCTCGGAATACCAATGGCTTGGTTAAGGCGTGTGGGTTGGGGTGCTCCAGGACAGCGTTCGAGTGTGGCACAGCTGTAGGAGCAATGGTCGCTACAGTGGGTGCCTCCGTCCTTGGGGCGTCTGCTGAACTCGCCCCGCCGTTGATCTCTAGCATACTTCTCGGGCTATCGAAAATGGTCGCCTTAATCGCTGAGATCGTCCAAGGCCTCTCTAGTGAGATCAAGAACCTACTGCAAGGTCGGGGGTTGAATGT